ACCGACCATGCTTCAAATCACAGTGTTTTACATGGTTTGCAAACAAAGATTTTTATAAAATACACCAACGTTTGTGGAAACATTTTATGAAGGAAAATACAGATTTCCGCTTTCTCAGCGCCATGACGTTGGACACACAGAGGTTAGAGTTTTTATCTCAGCTTTTACAACAAAATGTAACCAGCAAAGTTAAAGTATTTTAAATTATTTATGTTCTGAAATACAGATTAAAAGAACCACAACTGCCCACTATTGTTGTTCTTTCAAAGATTTTAAGATGGTGTGGTGCAAAAACACTGCTGCAGCATGAGTGTGAAGTTATTCTTCCAAAATGGCACATCTTGCAGGTTTTATTTTATAAAGATTTGGTGCTATTGCAAACCTTAAAGGGGACCTATTATAGAAAATTCACTTCATTTTTCATTTGGAACCCTACTGTTTGTAGAAACAATCAAAATGCTAAGTAAAAGCATTTTTGCTGTTTTATGGCAATATGTAAGTTGTCTTTTTGTGTCTAGGAGAACAAGTTGTTTGGACAACTTCCAATCAGTGGGGACTGTACTGCTACCTAGCAAACAAAGTCCAACTCACCTAGCAGCCCAAGCGGAGGTCAAGCACTTTTGGTCAGCTGGTTTTATTGTTGCATGCATTGTACAATGGCTGCTGGCAAAGACAAGTGTTTTGTTTTTTTTTACTTACCATTCAGAAACTGCTCCTGGATCCTTGGTCGTTGTGCTCCACTTTTTCTGCTTCTGGGTCTCACTCAGATTTCGAAGATGGACCATTGTACAATTGTGCATCTGTCTGCAACCATTTTCACGGATATAAATTCCAGTGTAAAAGTTTGGGGTGGAGGGGCGGAGTGACCAGCAGCAGCAGCTTGTTTGGATTTAAAGTGGCAAGAGGCTCTGAAACTGCTCAGTCTGAAAGAGGCTCAAAACAGGCAGAGCTGAGCAGGTTAAATTTCATTATCTGAGAAAGATTTTGTGCAAAAAGTGCCATAAATGCCCCTTATGTGCCTGGAAAATACACAACACTACCCATTTAATAGATATAGTGGCTAATTGTGGGTAGATAATTATACGATTAGGTTTCGGGTTTCGAGTCTGTTAATAATTTGTTTTGGTGATGCCTTTAGTATTCTGGTTAAATGGCTCTGTTTCGTACCCCAGAATGGAAATGCATTTAAAACCAGCCAAGGTCATTAAAAAAGTTCTGGGAAACTACTCTTGTTCCTAAAAAAAAAAAAAAAAAAGATTGTTTGTGCAGTAAAAAATGCACTTTTCAATAAACTTACATTGAAACTGTGCTTCTTTGTCAAATACTTTCAGAAATTACTGTGTGTAAAAATTGGCAACTGATTTAAGTGTCAAAAGCTTATTAAATCATCACTGCTCCTCTTCAAGCTGGTAAATGAAGCAGACACTCTGAAGTTTTTTTTTTTTAATCATTGATTCACTTTAGAACTGTGCAAAAGTGATTATTTAGTGATGCTGCTTCAGTTTTGCTCTGATCAGCTTTTATTTTAAGCATAACATGAAAACTAGAGGAAAATCTGTAATTTTCTTCAGGCAGCCCTGCAGGCACTATCCCCCCTCAGCCCACTAACTTAAAAATAGGAGTGGGATTATTTGTGGGTCGTTGTGGTTTTAGCGTGTGAGACGGAGTGTCTGTGTGTTTGCTCCCCCACCCCGCTTACAGCCAGCAGCGTACTTAGCACGGGCTTTAAATAGCTAACTCAAATAAAATGAGAGGAGACCAGGGATCAGAGGCTGAGAGGGACTCTGTGAGGGAGGCATTCCCAAACGGAAGCTGGCCTTTGGATTTCCAAACACCATTCGCAGCAAGTAATGCCAGGAATGTGATGTTGTCCAGAAGCTCTGGCCAGCGGCTGTGAAAACCACCTTGCCACCAGGTGCTGGTGTGCTGTCTGACAGGAAGTGCAGCAGGAAGTGCAAATGGAGGGGCAGAAAATGGCGATAGGTGACTCAGCAGATTGAGCACAGACTCAGGCTGGGTGAGGGGGGGGAGGCAGAACCTCTATCAACCCCGAGAATCTCTGAACCCTGTAAAGGCAACACGACTCCCCCTCCGACACAACCTCTTTCCCATCCTCTAACTGCTCTTCCTTCTTTTACACACTGTGTTAAATTTCTATTCTTTCTCATTCTTTTTACCTTTTGACGGCCTTCTTTGTGTTCAGGCTGTGGGAAAGTTTCCCGTAATGGTGAGGTCATCCACCAACGAAAGCTACCCCCACCCCTCATTCGCACACACACACACACACACACACACACACACACACACACACACACACATGCATACACCATCACTGCACACCCCCCTTGTCCATGCTGTCTCCCGAAGGCCAGGCAGGACTGGAGGATACCAATACATCCCCACATCTCTGTCCCACTTCCAGATCCCCGGGGCTCCCTGCAGAGACCAGGATCCTGGAAAAGAAAAAAGCCTCATTCAGAACCGCTATCTACTGATTTGGGGACAGACGACCCATCACTCAATCCGCAAGGCACCTGCAGGATGCGTCAGGCATTAAACTCCCAACCCCCATCATCTGCCATGTGCACTCCAGAACATTCTCGTTATCTCTCACACACAGAGACATGGGAACAATCTTTCTGGTTTTGCTTAGGAAGCCTGTGGTTCTCTACACATGAGCAGGTTCGTCCTGATTCTCCTCCTTGCTATGAATCCATAGAGGCTGCAAACTACAAACCAGGAAAAAAGTTAAATACATTATAGTTGTTTTAGTATATGCAAATAGTGGCTTCTGACTGCCATCTATTGGTAAAATTGTAAATTACAGCGCTCTGTTAAGAAAGAGTTCACACAAAACGAACCAAACAGCAATTTCAAGACATTTTATTTCTATATATAAAAAAAAATCACATCCATATTTTATGGTTTCTGTACATTTTCCTCTCCAGGAACACATGCTTTTTTGGACTCAAATGTAAGGATTTTCCTTGATTTTTTGTTCTCTGATAGTTTGCTCCTTTAGCCCTGAGAACATTTACTCTTTTTCTTTTGAATTTATCATGACATTAAACCATAAAACTCTAAGATAAGCCTGTCAAATATTCCCTGCTAATGACAACTGGCTCATTCCGCATCATTTATTGGATTGAATAATTCATTGGTCGACCTTGGTTTATAGGAGGACCACACATGAAAACCATGTAAATCGCCTGCACTTGTACAGTGCTTTATCAAATCCTAGGACTCTAAAGCACTGTACACTGCAGTCATATAACTCATACAGACATTCACACACTGAATAGAGCAAGCAGACAGAAGAAAACGCTGCCAAGGACACAATGACTGAGAAGATCAGAGCGGGGGTTCGAACCGGTGACGTGCCGATTACAAGCCGAATCCCTACCCCCGATCATGGGGTTCATCACAGCCTGGCACCTCCTCCCAATGCTGGTCATCAGCTTGGTCACACATTTCTGTGGAATGGAGTAACATTCCTCAACCAACATTTGTCACACAAGTCTACCAATGTGGTTGTGTTGGTCCCTTTGGCATGAAGCGCACATGCAGGCTAAAAAGACTAAAAAGACAAGTGTTCAGTGGGGTTGTGTTGAGGATAGCTGGCAGTGCATTGTGTCCACTTCACTCCTAAGCTGTGAAGGCATAGTTTCTGCTAAATGTTATTCTGTCGAGGTGAGCACTGCTAACTTGAATGACGGAGTTTGGTGCTGAAGAGTAGAGATCTAAGGTTGTCACTGGTGGCAGAATACAGTCTCGATATTTTTCTGCATTGAGATCATCGCCATTGATGACTGGCCTTATATTTCCATTAGGAGAGATGCTGTCCCACATCAGGACACTGCCTCCACCAAAAGCAGTTTGGATTTGGCAGGAGAAATTTGCGAAGACCTTTTGCATAGCCCACATACTCAACAATGTTGCTATAAATAAAGCTGCAGATGATAAATGTGTAGTTCAACACAAATCTAAATTAATGGAAAAAAAAAAGAGAATCAGACTAGAAAAGGGAATAAAACAAACCTGTATTTAGATATTAGGAACATATAGTACAAACATATAGTAGAACAATTAAAAAAAAGTGACCGTTATATGAAATCTTAATGTACAGTATGTGTTAATACACAAAATATCGTGGCAAAAAGATTTTTAAACATCTTTAATGAAGAATGACTGTTATATACACAATACATCTTAAGTTCAACCTCACCATTGATGCTGGTTGTTATTCATTTTGATTGACATGAATTGTCCTGTGGTTACCAGGAAGCTGTGGTTTGAGCTGCAGATCTGTTTATGTGCCAAAAACTCTCAAACTGACGTACAAATTATGTTGTAATGTTTTTCACTACTGTATAGAATTAATGACAGTGTTATAAAAAATACATTTTGGTTAAGAGACCTTTGTTTTTAAATTTTACAAAAGCTCAACAAAGAAACGTGACAATTCAAATTCAGATTAAAATTTTTCATCTTGGATATTTATGTCATTGTTGTCTAAATATTCACTGATAATTCGGACAAAAGTGTGGAGCTGCCACTCAGGTAAAAGAAACATGGAGCTATCACTTAGTTTCATGTTTTTACCATAATGGTATAACAATATATATAGTTATCACTTTTTAGCAAATTGTACGTGGACTAACAGAATAAATTATACTGTACAAATATGAAAATTATATTGCAAGAACTATATATTGCTACAACTATATATATATATATATATATATATATATATATATATATATATATATATATATATATATATATATATATATATATATATGAGGATTATTATTATTGTTAAAACAAAAATTTATTCAGGTCTAATAAAAATAAAAGGTAGTTCAGATCTGTTTTTTCGTTTTTGTTTTGCCTGAGTGGCAGTTTCATACGCCTGAAAAAATATGTTTTGAACACAATAAAAATTAAAAATATGTGTAGCTAGGAATGACAAATCTTTGGAGGAAACAACAGATTATTCATGAAATTGTAGAAAAAACATACAAAAAATGTAAAACCGAGGATCTGATGAATAAGATGAGGCAAAAAGTGACAACTTGATGACAACACCCCACTTTAATGTAAATTAATGTAAAAACTAATATAATTTTAGTAAGTTAGTTTTAAGAAATATATTTTTTATTCCTTTAAATTATAAAATAGTTTAAAAGTCTGGAAAATCTTGCCTATACTTTCATATTCAGTGTTTTTTCAAAGCTGGAAGGCACGTCAACACTTCACTTTGCAAAGCGTCTATCCAACAATGTAAGAACAACGATATCAGAGTCTTGGCTCCCTCCTCTGGACGCATATTGCAGTGCAGGCACTAATCATTTTGCAGAAAGAACCAACAGAATCCAGCGTGAAGTGTCGGGGATAAAAGTTTTTTTTGGCTTTTCAACTCAGCCATAATTGTGAAACGACTCAACAACAGGGATTTGATCCTTGCCCCAGGTTCTCTTTATGCAGCAGATCATCTCCTTGTCCCATCACTTTTTCACTTTTTGTGAGATCCAATCATGACTTTTGAGACAAAGTTGACAATGGCACTTGCCGGCTGCTCAGGGTCATGCTCAGCAAATAGATGGCATACATTTTCAGTTTCACTTTGAGATTTTCTGGCAACAAATCCAAAAATCCTGGAAGGAGGAAAGCAAATGATTAATGCAAAATAAAGGGATTGTGCTTTATTTTTGTTGTTTTGTTTTTTTTCAGTAGTGTATAGTATAAGATAAAAGAGCCTGCAATGTTAGCAAAATTCAAAACAAAAGAAAATCAAAAGAATTTGTGTGTCAAATCACATTAAGAATCGTATTTCTAAATGCCTGCATTCATTATAAACCAACAAATACTGGTGTCAAATACTGGGACTGAATCATACTGTTCAAGGAACCTTTGGCCTTTGCTTTCATTTAAATTATTGCATTCATCTTTGTCTTAAAGATTAATTCCTGATATAATAAATTCAAATCATTTAAGAGTGGTTAAAGTGCATGAAGCTCAAAAATGAGAAATAAGAAAACTGTATGAAGGCAAGAAACAAACAACATGGCACATGCTCCTCACAAAGACTTGTCAAGAATTAACTTACTTGGCTGTGGAGACGCTGTCTCTGGTCCACCTGTTTAGGACAGAAACCACGATTGACATCAGGAATCATAGAGATGGATTACAATGAAATTCATCATCTAGCATTGTGTGCTATTTAAATAACTAAGTTGTTACATTTATTGAAGTCTTTACCAAGTCAGGTTAAAATAAATTGCAGCATAAACTCATTCATGGTAAATATTGAGGGAGGGAAATGCATTTTATGATCAAGAATTTATTTTATTCTCTATTATCACTTCTGTAATAAAATATTTTTGTAAGATTATTTACATGCCAGAGTTGAACCCTTAAAATTCCTTCACTCCAGAATAAAATGCTGTTACATATTTATTGGGATAATGATGTATTTGTGCATGCGTAGCTCTGCTACAAGTAGTCTAGCAAGTAGGTTGTCATTAAAATCCAAACAGGCTTACTGTGCCATGAAAAAATAATGTGTCCCTCTAAAAGATCTGTGTTTGCAAATTTTAATATCAGACAAATTAATGCAACTTTTTATATGATGATTGATTAATGGTAGAAAGATAACTAACCCAACCTGGCCTTATAACTGCCACCTGAACATAATATCTCCTTTAGGCAAACTTTGAGGCAACAAATGCTATCAACTGTTTCTGACAATAGCCAAAAAAAATCTTACTTCATGGAGGATGTAAAAGAGCAAAAAAAAAATGGATGTTCAATATGACGGCACAGCTTCAAATCATTTCTTTGTTGTATTTTTTTTAGCCGGGTGTGTTTTAGATCACTGAAATGATTTGCAGATATTATCAGCGACTGTTATTAACTTTACTAACTGACGCAGATTTTAGTTATCGTTTGGAGTTCATGGCTGCTGTCAGACTGGTGAAATTACTCACTTCCTTCCCTGTGGGTCCAGAGAACAGAATATAACTGTGTTCACAGTGTAGTGTCTCCTGAAGAACAGCCTGCAGAGTCAAACACAGCAACACATCAGATTTGATTTGCAGTTTCCTTAATCTGAGTTTCTGTGCATCCTTTACGAAAACCCAAAACTATGAAAATTAAGTACAACTGTAAAAGAAAAATTGATATGTTATTGCATAACACATATAACACTATAAAGTATACCATATTATAATATACTGTACTATATATATTTTAAACATTGCAGTCTTACTTAGCAAAAATAATTAATAAATAAATAAACCATTCAGAATTAGCATTTTCAACTATTTAAGTTGCTCTGATTTTTACCCATATTTACAATTATGTGCCATTCAATATGAATGACTACTTAGGGACTACTCAATATTCACTCAGTATTCATACAACTGAAAGATTCAAATAAAAGTTGTAAATCACAAAATAAAATCAAGAAATAGTTAACTTTGGGACAAAACATGGCAAAACCTTTCAGCAACCAAGCCATTTACTTATTCCTAACTGTGACAATTCTGTTGTCAAACTGTCGCCAATCAAACACTCACTTCCTCTGGTTGTCTGTGAGCGTTATTCCCTGCGCCGACACTTTGAAGTGGACCACGGTGGAGGGAGGTGGAGGGTCCATGGAGAGGGTCAGTGTGGTCGCCTTCTGGACCGCTTGTTGACCCGTCAGAGACTCCAGCTCCACAGAACCCAGGAACCACACGTTGCACGCTGACACCCGAGAACACATTAAATGAGTGTTTCACCAAACATAGGCACAGATGTCTGTTATTTTAAAATACCATTTTATCATCAGTGAATGTTTTACCTGCACCCTGTTTGAGAAGTTCAGCTGCTGAGTTTGTTGCCGTCTGTGTCGGCGCGTCGTTCAGCTCCTCTAAAGGATCTATTGGACACAAACAGCAATGATGTCACACATGAGTCACAATAAAGCATAAAGGTCAAGAAGAAATAAAATATAAAATAAACATCATGGAAACTGATTAATTTTATTCTGAAAAGTGTCTTAGGAAATGTTCCAGTCTGTGTGAGAGAATTACTAAAATTATTTCTGGTTTCTGTAAGCAAACAAATCTTTAGTATGTTTGTTAAAATGTGTTAAAAATAAAAGTAGAGCACAGAAGTTATTGTTAAATTAAAAAAAAGGAAGCACTTTACAATAACAACACAGAATAAAATGTAATGTAAGTTTTTGACTGAGACAGAGAAGGTAAACTCTCAGCTCCACCTTCAGGATAAATTGTGGATGTTTACCTCTATCAGGCAGGATGAGTTTACAGGGCAGAGCCAGAGGGGTGATGGAGTGCTGACACACCAGAGCAGTGAGGCTTCCTGTCACAGAAGTGAAAAATTCAATGTTACTAAAAAATATAAGGACAGCTGCAATTTGTCTTTACCACCAGCAGAGGGGGGTAGAAAACCATTTCAAAATATTGGGTTTAATCTGTAGCAGTTTTTATTATTATTATTATTATTATTTATTTAAACAAGTATATAGTGAAGAAAAAAATCTTGGAAAATTATTTTCACCAAAGTACGGCTCATTGGGGCAGCCTTTAAGACGAACTCCTTTGGGTGTACACTCAATCAGGAAGTGCCTCACCAGCTCGCTGGACAGATCTCCCACTGAAAACAAAAACAAAGAACTTAAGAAGAAAATGAAAACTACATTTACAAGTGAAATTATTATATTAACTTTGATATCTTAGAATATATTTTTTTCAATGTTTAAAATAAAGATTCTCATTACACTAAGAAGCTATAAAAAGTGGAAGCTGCTGGAATTTCCGGGATGAGTTTTCTTTACTTGCCATATTTCTGGAGTATTTTTTTATATTTTCAAACAAAACTGAGTAGAAAGATGAGTCATAGTCTGATGAAGACAAACTTTAATGTTTGGGTCACAATTTACACTGACACGTCGTTGTACAAACACAAAAGATAACCATAGCCACACTCAAACATGGAGGAGGCAGCGTCATGCTGTGGATTTCCATTAGATAGGACAGTGTTTTTGTTGTTTTTCTTTGTGTCGAGAAGGATGATATCACAAACAGTTTCAAATATGAACATGTTTTATTCCAAAACTAAACGCTGTTGTCTAACAAGCCGAAGAGAAAGATTGATTTAAATAAAAGTTATAGAAAAAAATAAACCAGAAGAAAATCCAAGCCAGAGTCCAGAACTAGACCTTACAGAAAATCGGCTGCACCATTTAAAAAGAAGAGATTTCCTCCCAATCTGATGGAGTTTCAAACTGAGAGTGGGTAAATGGTGACAAGTCAGGATCACAAACTGTTGGCTGAATGCTAAAATGTAATCAAAAGATGCTTCAACAAAGCGCTAGGTAAGGTGTTGCTAATGCAGCAGCATTTTTTAAATATATGTTTCCCCCTGAACAGATGTTAGTCATACAAGGACATGAATCATATTAAAAGTGAAAAAAGATTTTAAATGGTTCCTCATTATGATTTTTCACATCCAAGATCCGCTATACAAAACCATTACAAAAAATACAAAAAATTACAAAACCATGCATTAGTTCTAAGGTAATCCAATCACCTTTTTTACTGTGGTGTACCACTGACGGAGGAGGCGTGGCCACCTTCATGGCCAGTCCGTACGCCCCGCGAAATGAATGGCTGTCTCTGACGATGAAGGAACCGGGCTCTTTGTCCTTCAGCACCGCGATGGCTAATCAGAAGGTCAACATAGGGAGGAAGCAGTGAAAGGCTACAGTTAAAATCACATTCATACTGAAAGAGGAAGAAAAAAAAACTTTACACAGAGGTGTATTATACGCTCACTGGAGGCCACCTGGCTTTCTGCTCCAAGACCAATATTTACCTTGGTCTCTGGAAATGTCGGGCTTGTACCAGAACTTGGACGTGTCCTGAACAAACTTCACAGTGTCCTGCTTACTGCCAGAGTCTGTAGGGCACAAATCAGAGCTTGGCGTTAAGTTTCAGGATGATGATGATGGGTAAAAGTGAGGAGGAAAGATCAGACAGATTCTCAAAGTCTGGACAGGTGGTGAACTGGGATCATTTTAAGTTTGGCACAAATGATCAAACATGTTAAATTGATGGCATTCGGTGTCATTGACACCCTTTTGAAATTTACAGAAAATGTATTTTATGAAGCTTTGCTCTATCTGGGCAGACTTTATTCTTCTTTTTTGTTTTATTTGACTTGACTTTTATTTGACTTTATTTGACATCTCATTCAGTCGCGTGTATCTGCGATCTCGTTCTTTCGGTCACTACCCAAAGTTCGCGACCACAGACAAAGGTAGGAACTTAAATCGACCGGTAAAAGAAGAGCCTCTCGCCTTTCTGCTCAGCTCTCTTCACCGCAACAGATTGGGACAGAACTGGCATCACTGTAAATGCTGCACAAATCCAACAATTGATCTCCCTCTTCATTTTTTCCTTATTCGTGAACAAGATCCCAGGATACTTAAAACACCTCTACTTCTGGCTAAAGACTGTGGTCTTGGATTTGGAGGCACTGAGCCTAATCCCAGCCCCTTCACACTCGGCTATGAACTGCTCCAGTGAAAGCTGAAGATTACAGTCAGATAAAACCAATAAAATCAGAAATATTTTTAGGTAAGATTTAAGGGATTGAACAGGTCAGCAAAACTAGGGGATAAAGGTGTACGACTTATCTCTTAGACAAGTAAAAGACAAGAAAAGAAGTGGCAGGACTCTCTTTTTCCCTAACTTATTGTGCTTCACTCACCTTACATACTTTATTGGAAAACTTATGTTGCTAAAAGTTTTACCTACAAGTACACGGCATCATATGTTTGGAGAACATAGTTATAGGACCTTAAGTAGGGTTTTAATATAATTTGGGTTTAATAAACACAGATCAGAAGAAAAACAAATCAAGCGTGATGCCGAATTGAGACCAAATAAGACTTAATAGTACCTGCTCCGGGTGACGAGGCCCCACTGAGTCCTCTGAACGGATCTGAGGTCAGGGACGACGACAGGGGGATACTGAGGCTGCTGCCGCTGCGCGGGCTGGAGAACCCGCTCAGAGAGGGGGATCGTGAGCCCAGCTCTCCCACCTCACCTGTTCTTCTCTTCTCCGGCAGTAGGGGAGCGATCCCTGCATCTCCCCCAAGATTCAGATTCCCGAGTCCCTCCACAGCTTCTAGCAGGCTGTGCTCCAGGCCGCCGTTTCCCAATAACAACAATGAGGACAAGTCTGTGCTGTCGGTTCCACTGCGGTCCCCCGAGCTCCCTCCCCGGCCCCTCTGAGCGCCCCGTGGGGAACTGTGAGCATTAGGGGAGCTGAGAAGTAGCGGGGGTGTAGACTGGGGAGGATGGGGCGAGTTCAAGGAGTTTGGTGTCCGGTTGTGCCACACAGGAGGTGGAGTGGAGCTGCAAGTAAAGATAAAGATACAACATGGCTCGAAATATTTTTTTCACATAATAATTTAAGAAGCTATCTAAAAATTAGAGAAACCCTTGACACAGATTCTCTGTTTAGGAGGGCTGTAGAAGAAAACAAACTGAGCTGGGTTGTGAGTGCAGTTCTCCGACAAATATTCAGGCTTTAGGTGATAAGAATTAAAAACACACATACAAATAATTCATGCATGCAGAATTGTTACAGCCGTAGTCTGTATTGCCCGTAAAAAGATTCTGATAATAATTAAGCTGTTTTTAATGTCAGGACTTTATTTTATATTTTAAGCTTCCTCTTATGACTGTGCACAGCATAAAAGTATTGTGTCAAACCCGTTTGAGTTGAATGACCTATACATGGAAACAACCGCTTTGTCTCAGGTGAGACATGTGAAGCTGCAGAGGCCAAAGGTTCACAGACGCATCTGAAAACTACAACTTTCTGTTGAAGCTGCAGATCATAATCAGCTGTATGAATCAACGGGGCCAACGAGCTCTGTGTCAACAACCTGGACTACTGCTGGTCCAGGAATGGTGAAGCCTGTTTATAACCATAAGTCATGGTTTTATTTTGCAGCGTGGGTGGTAATAACACTCCTATATTTGTTTTTTTTTTGCTGAGATAAAAAGACATATTTGAATAGCAGTTGAAGCAGCTGAAAGAATCCGGCTTTTGTTTGAGGCGGATTCTACCTTGAGGTATGCAAGATTAACAATCAAATATCAATGCGAAAGATATCAAAGCACAAAGGTCATCGCTGCATCAGAGGGTGCTGAACTCCAATTGTGAAGGAATGCTGGGACAAAATATTTGGTAAGCTATTATGTTTCAAATGCATTTACATCATGTCATGGATTGTATCTGTGCATGCCGGTAACATATTTGCTCAGTCGGATGAACTCTGTCTGAACTCCATGCCCACGCTTGATGTAAATTTTACTGACTTAGATGCTAAAGCTCAAAAAGAGCGGTGAGAACATCATGATGACACAGAGAAGAGAGAGGAAAGTGTTTTAGTAAATAATGCAATGACAGTCGTTGTCATTGCATTATTGTGCAGTACTAAATAAGAACAAGTTGCTAAATAAACTACTACATGATTAACAAAGACTAAAAAGTTACATTTATAAGCAGTCCTTAAAACTGGCTATATCTGTCTTTGTCAACCTTACATGTATTTTATTTTTTCCTTCTTATACTTCATTTACTCAATGTTTTTTTTTGTGTGTGTTTGTTTTTTTCTCAATCTAACTAGTCAGGGTCCATCTAAGCACCATAAGATAACCACTGTTGCAAGAGGCTATTGTCAAAATTTGACTATTCCTGTTTTAAATTCTAGTCCTTGGTGCATGTGAATGCTACAACGGTGTATATTCATCACCACATTCTGGATTGTTTACTATTTTCCAACCCTTATCGGTCTGCATCTCCTTTCTGGATAAATCACAAAATAAATGTCCACTTTATGACTCAGTTACGTCTTCTTATTTTGAAGACCTTCACCTGTCTGTGTGTTGGAGGGGGCTGCTAGTTGACACTGAGCTCATGGAGCCAAAGATCCTCTGTGTGACGGGCACATCCGATCGGAACAGATCTCCGTCTGCGGAACCACCAGAGTGGTTCATGCCATCCAGGAAACTTCTGGGTTCTGAGCAAGAGGACAAATAGAAAGCAGAATCAATTTAATACTTTAGACATCTAAACAAAAAAAACTAGTTTATTTTTGGATTACAGTTGGAGAAAATCAAAACACATTTGTCATGTTTTACAGTACAAACTTCTCGCTCATAAGGGACATAAGCAGCAACGAATGGCTTCATTTTTCAGATCTGCCGTTGAATTCAGCAGATCCTGCATTGCAAGATGTGCTTTTGTACGAAGCAGAAGCTGAACTGGTGCGCGGCTGTCAGGACATACATGCAAACATGACGTCCTGATTGTGTCATTCCGCAAACACACAGACGAGCCTCCTCAAGCTAAAGAACAGGATCGTGAAGCACCATGAGTCACGGGGAAAACAGTCATTCATTATAAAGGGCTTGTTGTTTGGCCTGCTGAGCCTCCTCACTTCAGCCCCTCCTCCCTCCCGACTTCTGCTCCGTGTCTCTACTGCAGTGCAGGAGGTGCAGGAGTTAGCTCGCTGCCAGCTGTGTTAACTGAACAGGCAACATCGTTTCGAGGGGATTTCATAATAACACTAACACTGAATGCACATAATGCAAATCCAAATAATGCTCTTGTGTACTTAGTATGTATAAACATTGCATGCACACGTGGAAAGTAATGGTATAAAGTAGATTCAAACACTTTGTGCTTTAGATTTTAGTGTTAGTTAGGATTCTTTGGTCGTCAAATTCCAGTCCTTCAGCAGAACAGCGTGGTATGATGGCAAGTCAGATATTTCATTCAAGTGAAACATTTTGAGGTTATTTGCATAAGCTGCCTGTTTTAGTAGTTCATTGCATTTTTATGATTTTTTGAAACTACATTTAGCTACATTTTGTTTGATTTTTCTACTTGTAAATGATCTAACCACAAATTGCAACTCAGCTATGCCTTCAAATTGATGACCTAGCTTAAGTGAAATAAAAAAGGTACTTTAACAAATGAATGAAAATTAATTATTTAATTTATGACTAATTAGTCGTTTTATTATTCATTAGAATACTGTAAACTAAAATAAAGAATGGATTTTATATAAATCCCCGGATACATCACATGGCTTATGGCTTGTATGCAACTTGGAAAGTTGTTGATGTTGATGCTTGGAGGAAACACATTAAACCAAAGGGGAGGAGAGCATCACAATTCCTCAAACATTCCCACAGTCTCTGTCACTTTTTTCCCTCTTGGGATTGCTCCTGGAAAGCAGCTGAGCTTCTTCTTTTTTCTGAGTTCCCATGGATCATTTTCCTCACTGGTGTTTGTTACTTCTGCTGCTTATTCTCTGCCAAATGACATTTCTACCAAACCTGCTGCTTCAGTGATGAGCAAATAACTTATAAGACAAGGTGTCAGTGCCATCTTGCAGCATAGACCATGTATTATTTTCTTTTTCTAAATGTACTGGGTAATCTGTAGAACGACTTAAGATTTGATGCACACGGACACTCCCCAATGTGATCAATCTAGAGCCTCAAACACTTGCAGCTGAGCAGCAGTTTTGGAAGTCTGAATATATACTGTATATATGGATCCCAAACTTTTTAGTCTTTTTTGTTAAAAAAAAGCATTGTTTTTAGTCCACTCGACAATTATGCAATACTTTATGTTGGTTGTTCACATAAAATATAAGACAAGTTTCTTACTGAATGAAAACTTGTGCAAGCGATTCTACATTTAAGTTTTGTTAATGGAGTAAGCTGAAAAATTTGCAAAAGTTCTATTTCTTCTAAATCATCCGATTTAGTTATTTTAACTGCACATTAAATGCATAGCAATATTCAGAAATAAAACCGTTTCACATCCACAACAAGAACCCCAGTATTGAAACTGCACAGATTTCTCTTCACTTTGAGTGAGCACAAAGCCTCTCTTCAGTTTACGGCCAACTTATGAAAAACCTTTTCCAGATGACACTGACCCATGTGGGCTCGTCTGCCAACCACCAGCAGCAACAGCCCCAGCCCACAACACATCCACATACTTTCTACATCGCAGAGTGATGGTACCGTGGCTCTGACTACAAAAGGGGGCATACCTTCACGCTCGCCATGAAGATAGTTACTATTTATCAAAAGAGAAGGTCATCTGGGCATCTTCGCATCTGATCACACTTCTTGTTGAACAAAAAGAGAAGTGAATTAAATTATGGCATACAATAAGCCAATAATACATGAGCAGCGACGCTGGGCAAACAGCCCACAGACCACAGGAATGTGGGTACAAGCACTTGCACTCGCATTGAGGCTAAAACTGAGCCTGCATGACCATCTTACAGCTGTTTATATCTGTCACATTAAAAAGGTGAATGTTTAAAGAAGAGAATCAAAACAAAAGAGGGGAAAATCAGCTACTGCTTCTCAAACACACTTGTGCTATATCTAAACTTCTGTCCTTAGCAAAAAAAAAAAAAAAAAAAAAAGGGGGTTTTTGCAAAAGCTGCATAGAAGTGAAAAAATGTCCATGACAAAAGGCCTGAGGCCAGGGTGAGCAGTTCCAGACCTGAAGGGCCACAACCATCTTTAATGGTTGTTGTTGATTTAAAATGAATTAGTCATTAGTAAGCACCTGCAGAACATGGAGGCATGTTGAGGGCACACTTCAAGAAGGGCAAGGTGGTTCTACTGGTGTCTATTTAATGTTAGCTATAAGCTCTGTGATGTACAGAATGGGAGGTTTATCCACTAAAAGAGGGAGCAAACAAAAGCAACACTGAAAGTTGCATAATACATTCAACATAATGAAGACTTAAAGGAAACTGTGTGTTTAGAGAGAGGAGTAAGTTGGTAAGTTAAGAACCAAATAATTTATCTGCAGGTTTTGAATAGTCTGTCCTGAAAAGGACAGGACTGCTTGTAATTCATGATTTATTGTTTAACAACAGACCAAAGTGTTGAATTTCCACAACTCTCCCACACATTCCTGATTTATTCAGGAATTCCAGTCATTCAATAGCGGGCTGTTTTATTCTTCTCCAGAAAAAAAAAA